GCAGGGCTCGCCCGGGGAGCTCGGGCGCCGCTCCATGCGCGTGCACCTCGGGGCGCCGGGGCTTTCTGCGCCTGCGCGGGCCTCGGGCCGTTCAAAGTCTCATGGGACCGGGCTCGTCCCTCGCGCTCGCCCAGCCCCCGGGTGACCTCACCTGCAGCCCGCGCGCGGGTCCTGCCTGCGCCTCTCCCTTCCCGGCCCAGACGAACACCCGCGGGAATATCAGTATTTAACTTGTATCGATCGTTCCCCGGGCGCCGGGGCCCGTACTAAACTGTGCGCTTTCATCTCCCAGCAACCCTGTAGACTCGCCGCTGTGTAGGACCCAATCTGGAGACGAGGGAACCAGGACGTGGGGCCCTCGAGGCCCAAGTGGGGAAACTCGTGACTTCCGAGGCCTAGGCTGATGTTCTGTGTGTGACTCAGACGGGGTTAGAGTACAGCCTCGAGCTTTGTTTACTGCCTCGCTTCAGTTACGTGGTTTCTGCTGCTATCTTGGATATACCGCTTTCTGCCCTGGGCCTCAGTCTCTTCATCTTTAAAATGGGGATGCTGATAGAAACTTCCTCCAAGAGTTGCTGTGGGAAGAACGGTGCCGGGTGCATTTTAAGTGCTATTGTTGTTGCTAATAGGCTGTCACTTGCTCCACTCTGCCCTCGGATCTTTTCCTGGGGAATTAGTCTTGGTTTGGGGCTGGGGGCTGGCTCTGAGGTGCCCTTGGAGAGGCAGAGGAGGAGGAGACAGTGGAGGGCCTTGGAGGCTGTTGGGTGTGGCCCTGTGTTCCTGCGGGCTCCTGCTATAGGAATTGGGCCAGAAGGCCTGTTTCATTGCCGGTAAAAGGGAACAGCATTATCTGCCCTTCTCACTTATTTATTCATTCGGTGCATTTACTGAGTACTCTTTACGTGTCAGGGACCATGCTGGGGAACCTCTGGGAACACAGCGGTGAAGGAAACAGACAAAGCCCTTATCAGGCCCTGTAGTTCCTAGAATGGTGAAGGAAAGACATCAAAGAATCCTTCTAATAGTTGTAAGATTTCAACTGTGGCTTTAAGGAAAAGAGTTGTGGGACTCCAAGGCTGCTAATTCAGGGACCTGGGCCTGGTTTGAGAGGAGCAGAGCCAGGGATGGTTGCTTTCCCTGGCAACGAGGCAGCTGAATGGATTTCTGGAGGCAAGCCCTGATTATTGGGGAGGTGGGGCTCCATTTCTGGGCACCACGACTGTGTGTGGCCTTGTTGCTGGCTTTTTGACAATCTCCCACCTCCCCTGAGCCAGAAAGAGTTCCACGTTCAGGAGTAGATGCTGACTGTTTACTGGTGGACTGAGTGATGGCCTGCACCCCCACACGACCACTGTCACCCTTGGTTTTCCTAGAGATAGGAAATTCTACATTAAACATAGAGACCTTGGGTTGGCTCCCTTCCCTCTCCACCACCTACACAAAAGTTTGGCCCAGTTAGGTCAGCTACAGTGAAGGAGGAGTACCCAGCTGAATCTTAGAATTATTTCCTAGATAAAGAACTAAGGCCGAGAGACATAAGGCCAAGGCCAGTCAGCTGGGAATGGGTGAGGCCTCTTCTAACGTCCTTTAAACCTAGCTTTGATCAAGTCATTGCTCTGCTCAGAACAATCCAGTAGTTTCCATTTCATCCAGTGAAAGCCAAGTCATGAGGAGGGCCCTAAGACCATGTGCCTTCTCTTCCTCTTTCCCCTACTCTATCCCTCCTGCTCCCTTGCTCTAGCTACCCTGGCCTCCTTGCTCCCCTTACAACTTGTCCAACAGTCTCCTGCCTCAGGGTCTTTGCATCTGCCGTTCCCTCTAACTAGAATGCTCTTCTCTCAGATATCCACCTGATGACAGGAGCTTTGTTTCCTTCACTATTGTATCCCTAGTACCTAGAATAATGCCTGGCACATGGTAGATGTTCAGAAAGTGGTAGGTGAATGAATAAATGAACCCCTCAAGGAGAAAGGATTCCCTGGCTGGAGTCCCAGAGCATGAGGAGAGGGTTGCCCGTGTCGAGCTGCCCTATGGAGTCCAGAGCTCAAGAATCTCTACCTAGCCCGGCGGGGCATGGCTCAGTGGTTGAGCGTCGACTCAGGATCCAGCCGATCTCAGGGCACATGCCTGGGTTGTGTGCTCGATCCCCAGTCGGGGGCATGCAGGAGACAGCCGATCAATGACTCTCTCATCTTTGATGTTTTTATCTCTCTCCCTCTCCTTTCCTCTCTCTGGGATCAATAAAGAAATATTTTTTTAAAAAAAGAATCTCTACCTAGAAGGAAGCTGAGCTAGAGATCACATCTTTGCCTGCCTACCCTTTTAAAAGATGAGGAAATTGAGGTCCAGAGAGAGAGATGACATCATCCAGGAGGAGCTAAAAATTTCTTCCCTTTCAAATCCTTAAAGGAAAGAAGTGATTGCAAAGTAATCAGATTTAGTTCCATCAGAATTAGAAACCTAAAGTAAAAGGCAAACAACAAACAAAATATTCCCCTTAAAATATGACAAAAGATTAATATTTTACGTGTATATGATAACAACTTAAGGTCTCTCCCCCATCCATCAACAACTGGATTAAAAAACTAAGCATCGCCTTGTAACACAGACCGAATATGAGACACTCCTGAGCTCTTCTCCCACTTCCAAATAACAAAGGAAGTGCTGTGCCTTTGCTTTTGTTCTTTGTGGCCAACACATGAGAAGAGATTTTGTTTTAAATGCGAATGGAATGCCTGAAGCTGGTAAGGCTTGTGTCAAACAGACATCGCTGAGGGAGCGCCAAGGTACCCTTTCAGGAAACAGTTTGGTAGCATTGTATCAAAACCCTTAAATTCTCTAATTCCTTTGAGTCTCTACCCTAGGGAAATAATCTAAATTACACAAAAAACCCTCATGTACCAAGATGTTCTCCATAACATTGCTGACAATAGTAAAAAAAAAAAAAATTGTAGACGAACTACTTGTCGAACAGCAGGCAGATGGTTGAATAAATTACAGTAGATCCATTCAGTGGATGCTAGCCATTAAAATGACATATTCAAAGAGATTATAGTAAAATAGGAAACTGCTTATGTCATTATTTTTATGTGGGGGGGGGAATTTTTATTACTCAGCCATCAAAAAGAATGAAATCTTGCCATTTATGAAAACATGGATGGACCTAGAGGATATTATGCTAAGTGAAATAAGTCAGAGAAAGACAAATACTGTATAATTTCACTTATATGTGGCATCTAAAGAACTAAACAAATGAACAAACAAAACAAAACAAACAGACTTATAGACACAGAGAACAAACCGATAGTTGCCAGAGGGTTGGGTGGTGGGGGAATGGGCAAAAAATCGAAGGGGATTAAGAGAAACAGCTTATAGTTGTAACAAACAAGTCGCGGGGATGTCACGTACAACATAAGGCATATAGTCAATGATACCGCAATACCTTTATATGGTAATAGGTGGGTGCTAGGCTGCTTGTGATGATCACTTTGTAAGGTATATAAGTGTCAAATCACTATGTTGTACACTTGAAACTAATATTGTATGTCAACTATATTTTAATTAAAAAGAGCTTTCCATTTGAAAATGTAAAGAAGCGGACTTTTCGTTCACATGGTGTGCTTACAGGTGTGGAAAAGAAGCGTACTGACTCTAAAGACCGGATGACACTGCACCAAATATTCGCAGAGGTTCTGTCTGGGTGGGAGAGTGAGATAAGGGTTTTTTTCTTCTTCTTTTTCTTTTAAATATATCTTCAGCCCTGGCCGGTGTGCTCGGTGGTTAGAGTGTTGGACACACACACACACACACGCACACACACCAAAGCCTCCTGGGGTAGGCTCCTGGTCAAGGGCACTACCCGGGTTCAATCCCTGCCAGAGGCAACCAATCAGCATGTCTCTCTCACACTCTCTCACATCCATGTTTCTTCCTCCCCTCTCTCGCTTTCTCCTCCCCTTTCCCT